TGCCGTGAAGGATGCCTCTTTACCCGATTCTCCTACTGTCTAGGAAGAGGACCTTACTCATGCTTTTCCAGGTAGACCAATTGATCCATCAATATTGCGGAGTTTCAATAGTCATGTCACTGCAACTGTTTGGCATGGAGAGGTAAACATTCCTGATGATTTTTTTTTTTTTTTTTGTGTTGTATGGTAGTTTCTAATGAGATATCATTTGTGTTATAGGAACAAGGGCCCCTAAAGTGTCATAATCACACTTCGAAGATCCTTGCATGGCCATGGTGGTCAGTAGACAACAACACCAAATTCAAAGCCATTATTGAGCAGTCTGGGCTGTCACAGTTAGCTCGTTGCACTTATCGGTTCGTCAACAAGCTTCTAATGTCCAGTTTTGTTGAGAGATGGCAATCTAAGATGAACACATTTCATTTGACAGTTGGTGAGATGACCTTGACCTTGGATGATGTTGGCACTATTCTTAGCCTTCCCATTGTAGGCAGATCAGTCAGCGTACCAGATGTGACCGATTATCATGGAGTTACACTACTAGTTTCTGGCTTGAGGATTACTGAACGTGTAGCACATGACGAGGTTTCTACTGCTGGTGGAAATTCAGTCAGGCTTGAGTAGTTGCGAAGTCAGTTTGCTGGTGTCACAGATTCAAACCCAGAGGAGGCTATACAGTGTGCTGCTAGAGCTTATTTGTTGTTTCTGTTGGAATGTACACCCTTTAGTGACAAGAGTGGCGGCAGGTTCCTGTTGTTTACCTTGGCTTATTGATGGATTTGGGATCCATTCATACTTATGCCTGGGGTGCTGTTACATTAGCATTTTTATACAAACAGTTGGGGTATGCTAGTCGGTCCGGTGTTAAGCAGATGGATGGTTATATGACTCTTCTGGAGGCGTGGATTTATGAGCACTTCCAAGTATTCTGACCTCACCAAAACATAGCCTACAGTGAAAACATGCCACACATGTACCATTGGGCATCTAGGAGAGAGGCGGGTTCCTCCATTGATCATTTGAAATCTTTTCGAGCGGAGCTTGACAGTTTGGTAGCGACTAATGTAAGTTTACTCGTCCTGAGACAATTTTAACACTTTCTATTTATCTTACCCTTTATATACTTTAATTCAAAAAAACTTTACGTTTACAGGTTATTTGAGATCCATACCACAGTTGCAGAGACCGGCATCCATGTAACCCCAGTTACGTTTTACCATGGATGCTTGAAGTGCTTAGACGTGGTCGAACCTTATCATCCAGATAGAGTTCTGAGGTAGTTTGACAAGGTTCAAACCATCCCAGATACACCACTGGCTCCCACTTGTGGTGCTCGAGGCAACATATCTGCACGATATATAGTCATGTATAGATACTTGGATAGGATCTGAGAGGCTTGGGATAACCACGTGTTATCTGAGCAGCGAATGAGCACACTAGTTTATCAGCCTTGGGAATGCGTACCGGGTTACATGGATTGGTATAAGAATATCACGCACCTATATGTTGAGCACACTGATGAAACACGTGTCCATGACCATCAGGATTTCAGCCAACATGCTGATGTAATATATTATCCTTTTTTATGCATTTGTAACTTATTTTTTCTTTTCTGATATGTTCCCTAAAATGTGATATTCTTTTCAAATACAGCGTATTGCACATGTACTGAGGATTGCACATCCTATCATTCAAGCTGGTTTTGAGGACGGGATTCGACATCCTCATCGACTTTACCAGGCTATCGAGGCTATGGCACATGTCTTTGAAGGTCAGCACATTGACGAAGCTGGACCTAGTTCTGCTGGACCTAGTTGTATTGGAGGTTGCTTTTCATCTCCAACATTGACATAAAGTCGTAGGCATATAGCTGATTTGTGACATGTTATTTGTTAGTTGATGAATTTTTTGTGGTGTTTTTTGTAAGATAACATTGTTGTAATGGTAACAATGGTTGATATTTTCTTATTAGAATGGAATGGTAACAATGGTTGATGACAATGAAAATGACATTTTATTATTAGAATAGAATGGTAACAATAGTCGATGATTTTGTAAATGATATTTTGTTATTAGAATGGAATGGTAACAATGGTTAATAACATTTAATCCATGCCACAGAACACATCAACATAAAAAACACATCCATTAATTTCTTCCATAATTGTAACATTGTTAAATGCATACATGTGTCATTCGACATCAACAACATCAAATATCTCTCAAGTAGCTACAGTATCATGAATAATGTCCTTGAAATGCTGAATGTGGCGCACATATGCATCATCCCAATCGACAGCGCAAGGGTGACGGTATTTTCGCCAATTAATGGCTATAGGAGAAACTGGATGGCCTGGCTACAAAGAAACCTTGCACCAAATGTCAATTGAGTTAGTGGTCATACCTCATAACTTCTTGTACATGCACAAATTGATAAGTTTCTATTATACCTGGATGAAATGATTTCCGTTGACAAACCCAATGGCAATCTCACGTCTATCAAGTTGAGGTACCGGCACTGTCCTAAGAGGTAAAAAGGTGAGACATTGTTGTAATGACAAGTGGTATAACACAAGATTGTAGCACGATGCAACAAGATGCCTCATGTCTAGCATAGTCATCTAATGTGAGTAGCCAGGACTGTCTTCAAAGTATGACAATATACTTGTCAATTTTTCAAACCTTTCGTAGGACCTATAAAGTGTAATGTATTCCTCTTTGTGTGTGTGCAGCTCACCAAAAAGATCACGCCTAACCTGAGCCCAATCATCTTCTGCATGACCAATTGAAGCAGCTATACCCCTGAAACCACAATTCCCATCTGTAGCTACATCCTTGACAAACTTAATGTATGGTTTCAACCTAGAAGGGAAAGCATCAACATATGCACCAGGTTTCACTGTTCTAGTAATGTACACTTTTCCCTTCACATTCACCTTCTTGTTTCCCTTAACAGGTCGCTTCTTCTTGGTTTCCAGAGTAGAAGCTAATGTAGTGATTTGAGTGACCCTAGGTGAGAAGGAATCATGTCCAAATTGCACCAACTCAAATGCACACGGGTCACGACGAGGAGAAACATTGATCTTCTTATGATCCCGAGGATATCTTATTGATTTGCACACGGGTCACGACAAGTAGAAACATTATTACTGATATGTCAACGACATAGTGGTGTTTTGGGAAGTTGTTAAAAAGCTAGCTTTTTGCTAACTTGCCCAAGCTAGCGATAATAAATGTCTGCCACTCGGGAATATCTTCTGTATGGCATTCATCAAGGCTAGTTCTTTGTCAGTAACAATAATCGCTGGCAAAACAAAATCATCCATGACATCACGCAATGTAGCTAACACCCACACATAGTTATCGGCCCTCTCATACTGTAAGTATGCGAAAGCTACAGAGAAAGTCATTTCAATTGATGTCACTCCCACAATTTCAAGAAGAGGAAGATAATATCTGTTGGTTTTATATGTGCAATCCATAATTAATATACGTGGGAAAGATCGAAATAAGTCCAAATTGGTAGGATGTGCCCAAAATAAGTCTATCACAGTTATCGTGAACTCTTCACATCGATGGCGCTCAATGTAATTATACTTGGCCAATTTACCCAATAAGTGTTACATCTGTGATCTTTCAGCTCTCTGTACCACCCTGTTTCAATGGCGTACATTGTAATGGTTTTAAGTGTGTTTATATTAAGGGCATCTCGCTGTTTCAAGATTACTAGGATTTTTTTTTGGCCTAACCATGCTCTTTGACATATCCATTAACAATGCTTTCTCATCATTTGACAGCCTTCTCGTATATGAATGTCCCTCAAGGTGCTCCGCAGGTGGATGGTTATGCAATCCGCATACTACGGTCAATGTCCATTCATCGTGTGTGGTAAACCTGTGAGCTCTCATATCAAAAGGACAACCAAACTTCTTCGTACCGGTTATTCTTAATGTATTATTGCCATTATGTTTTAACTTCTTTGTCGCTCTATATTGGCCACTTCTCTCACAAACAAGATACATCCTGGGTCTTTTTTTTTTCCCTCCACCATAGTTTGATGTTTTGATTACAATGACCAAACCATTTCTCTTTCCAACTTCACGTACCCAATTGAGCAATTCATCCTTACTTTTGAATACCAACAAAGTCAAATAAATATTATCAAACATTTACAGTTGTTGAGCAATTCAAAACATAATCATTATAATTTGTAGAGTGAACCTGTTCAGTTGTGAATTGAATAATGTAATCCAACACATTATCCTCGCAAACCTGATTTCCTTGAGTTGACACATATTCTTACATGTTTTGTATAACATTATAAATTTGAAATGGCATTATAAAGATTAATTTGCAATTCAAAACTGTAAATTTAGTATGCAGTTTACAAATTTGAAATATAAAATGGGAAAAAAAAATTTACTTTATTTGGAAGTACAGTGTCAAACAAAATGCTAATTTTCGAATGTAGTTGTCCAAATTAATTTTAAAATTTCGGAAGTTGAATGTTATAAAATTTAAATTATTTCGGACAATAACTTCCGAAATTAAATAATTATTTCGGTAGTAAAATTTCGAAAAAACATGATATATTTTGATTCTGGTTATCCGAAAGACGCTGGAAAAAAAAACAAGACTATTGCAAAAACTCACATTTCCTTGGCTATCTTTTTCATAAACATTTATTTGCTTCTAAAAAATCTGAATTTTCAGAAGAGAAATCCTTCATAACAATGATGAATGAAGATGACGCCAGTGTGTAAACTAATGGAAATGGAAAGATACAATTGGCTTGGAGCTTCAACAGCTTCAATGGAAGAAGTAGCAGCTACAATAAACTTGGAGCTTTAACAGCTTCAACAAATGGATGTGAAGTCTGGACGTGCAATGAGACGTTTGTTTATTTGAATTGGATATAATATCCAAAATAGTAATTTCACTTAAAGATGAAATTGTAATAAAAATAAATATCGTGTGTATAGAGTGGATTGGGTGTGTATACAGAAACTCCCTGAGTTTATCAGGTGGGTGGTAGTAGAATTTCCCTGCCTTACCAGCGTGTCCTAAAACTCCTCTTCGATTGCTCCTCTTCTTCTCACAGAGGAGATCGCTATTAGAACCCTAGCTAGGGTTTTTCAACTCTACTAACTTATGAATCGAATCACAACAACCTGATCAAGAACTAGCCCTAGCCTTTATCTGATCCACAATTCGAAGAATTTCATTGTACTTCATCGATCTCATGAAGACGAGTTCAGTTTTCTTGATTTCCTTGCTCGTTTTTGCTTCGTTAGGCTCTATTCATGGCATTTCTGAATCGGAATCGGAGGGGACGAAGAAGAACAAGTTTCGGGAACGAGAGGCCACCGACGATGCCCTTGGTTATCCCAACCTGTAAGTTCTCTAACTCATTACATCTCAATTTTATCTGTAAAAGGCGAGAAATGGAAATGAAAACCAGAAATTGTTTGAGGGGTCGGAGTTGGTGTTGAATTCCAGGTTTCGTTTGAATTTCCTTCGATTTCGAAGTGGTATAGTTGGGCCATTTTTAGGAGAACTACTGATAAGTATGACGATTCTGTTGTTTTTTCAATTAACTTCGATGAGATTCGTGGTAAAGTGGAGTAGAATTGATTGTTCTTACTGTATTGCTCTCCTGAGATATAGAATCAATAACTTCAAAGGATGATTGTGTATTTACTTTTCTCGTGGGTGTGTGTAGGGATGAGGACGAATTGTTGAATACTCAGTGTCCTCAACATTTGGAGCTGAGATGGCAGACAGAAGTTAGTTCTAGTGTATATGCTACCCCCTTGATTGCTGATATAAACAGGTGAAAAAAAAAGAAGCTTTCCTTTCAAGTATTTTACGCCGCCAATTTTGGTTTTTAATTCATGTGACATATTTCATTTTAATTAATCGTTTTTCTCTTCTCTTTGTTTTAAGAGTATTGCTCAAAATTTTCTTGAAAACACTCTAGGAAAGGAAGCCAAATTTTGATGTTAACCATTGGAATTAATATGAAGCAATTTTTTAAAATTAAACTTTAACCCAAGAAAAAAATAAACAGATTATTTTTTTTCTGTAGCTTAATGACAAAACAAAAATGTGGGCTTGAAACGTAGAAAGAGCCTCTCTGCACATGGTGCATCTGACCCCTTTCCCAAGTCCTGCAAAGGCGGCAGCCTCTTGGACTGCGCTGCCCTTTTTAACTGACAACACAGTTTTCCCAAGCTTCACAGTCAAATACCCTCCGAAATGAGTGCATTCAGCAGAGAAACCTTCAATGTCTAGAAACTTCAAAAACAAAATAAAATATCTAGTAACTGTTATTCTTTGATATCAAGGATTTGTAGTGAACATGTTTTATTTTTTGCCTAATGATTTTAATATTTGTGGTGGATAACCTGTTTTATGCTGTATTCATATTTTATATCTCAGTGACGGAAAGCTTGATATAGTTGTTCCCTCATTTGTTCACTACCTGGAAGTTCTTGAAGGTTCTGATGGAGATAAAATGCCAGGTATAACTTGTTATTGGTTCTGTGTGAAAAGCCAGAGTTGGAATATGAATTTTCCTTCTTATTGGATTATGTTAAATTAGAAGCATTTAACTCACTATTTTCTAGTCTAGTGAGAACTTAGAAGGTACAAGAGCATGAGGACCTTAAGGTTTTCATGTTTTTAAAATCATTAATCACTAAGGTTCTAAATCGCGGTATTAGGACACATAATGGTAATGGTCACGGTGTAATGGTATCATGAGTATTAAGCGTTACGTATCGGAAATTTGGTGTAGTCATTTTTTTTTTTTAAATCGTCAACAATCCCTCTAAAACTCAATGATACCCATTTTGGGACTATTTTAATATTAAGTTATCATATTTTAATAGATGTTATGACATTTAAAAATATGTACTAAAAGAAGAATTGGTTCCGTTCACATGGAATAGATAAATTTGAATCACATTTCATCAATTAGTTGTCACCAGAATTCAAATAATTTTTTTTAGAATTTTGATCTGTTCACTCAAGCAATATTTTATCTATTGACATGCTGCCTTGTAGTTTTATCGCTATGAAAACCCAAATCTTTCGATGTCACATCAAATGATTGAATAAACAATGCTAGATTACCAGACCCAATATTTATAAAATTGTGCCCACACTCAAAGTCCCACATCGGTAGGTTACTGAGGCATACACTGCCTCAATATCTTTAAATAAGCCCCATGAGGTCTGGTGCACAAAACATAAATACAAAAGCTGCTAGCTGTTTGCCTACACTGCCACATGGTTCAGTAGGTAGAGTTAAAAGTTAAAATCTTATAACTCTGCAATTCTGCAAACTGGACCAGTTCACACTAGAATAAATTGGTCAAATAAATCCAGTGCAGGCTTGTTTGTATCGAGAATCAGCTGGTTTGCATGTTATTTTCGTTCTCACTGGTGTACCGGGGTGTTTCTGAACTGGGATGCTAAAAAATTGGTACAAACCGGCCAGAATGTGATGAACTGGACAGCATTTAAAACCATATGAATCACTGATTAAATTGTTTAAAGATTGCATTACATTTATATGACAGAGAGATGCATCAAGCATAGAACTTCAGTGATATTGCATTCTTTGATCCATATATGGAGAACATTTTATCACTTGTTACATAATTTACTAGGATGGCCTGCTTTTCATCAGTCAACTGTACATTCCAGTCCTCTCTTATATGATATTGACAAGGATGGTGTGAGAGAAATAGCTTTGGCTACCTACAATGGAGAGGTGCTCTTTTTCAGGTAACTCTCTCCTATTCATTCACGTGGCTGTTTTTTTTTTTTCACTGTGCGAAGGTAGTGGGGATGCAATTTCTCAGAATTAAGAGCAGTTCTATTTATTCTGGTATAGGGTTTCTGGCTACATGATGTCAGATAAATTGGAGATACCCCGGTTGAAAGTTAAAAAAGATTGGCATGTCGGTTTGCGTGCAGACCCAGTGGATCGTTCTCATCCAGATGTTCATGATGAGTCGCTTGTTCGGGAGGCTGTTATGAATTCAATTCGTCGTAAGTTATCATCTGCACCTGTCTGAATGTATGATCCAATGAATTGCAATTTTTATCGATTCTCATTTTTTGTTATTATTATACATTATCTATTCTTTAACTGAGCAATCTCACTATAGTATTGACATGGTAAATCAAACCATATAGCATCTGCTGATATTGATTGATATCTCGCTATATTGGTAGCTGGTACATGAAGAGCATTGGCCATTTGTTTTTAGCTTCAAATGTCATTAGAAATGCCTGATATTTTGGTGGACAATCTCTCATCTAAATTTTGAGTTGAATGTCCCTCAACACAGTTGATATTTGATTTGATTTGATTTTGGTGTAAGTGTTACTGATCACTTCAAGTACTGGTTAGGAATGCCTCACGTTACATCAACAACAGAAAATTTCTGCTGGTGCAGCGCTTTCCATCTAAGATTTTGTCACTCATGTTACTATTAAAATTCGCTTGTTGCATGATTTGCTTGTGTTAGTGTTTTGTTGCATGGTTTAGTTCTACAAGAGACTATTTGTTTTACCAATTATCCTAGTCATCTTAATAATATCATATGCAGTGAAATGTTCGACAGCTTGAGGAGAAAATATTTAATTTTTATCATTTTTTTGTTGCACTTTTAGAATATTTTATTTATTTACTAAATTTAAAAATTTGAAATTTGAAATGCTTACGTCTTGCCTCGCGAGGGGTAAAACACCTTACGTTATGCATTTGCCTTTAAAAGCTTTGATCATATATTAATAGGTGGAAATTGCTGGTTTTGTAGACCCCACTGCCCACCCCCACAATCCCCCCTCCTCTTTCTTTTCAGTGAGTGCAAGATTGATTTTGAACTTGTAGCTCTTGATGATTGATTATATGAAGTGCACTCTACTATTCACAAGTTCATCAGTAAATGTTGGATAATTGTAGAAACTAATGGAAGTGCAACTGGATCTGGCACCTCAAATTTAACTACACCAGCAGACCTGACTAACACAGTGAATGCATCCAATTTAGAGAATCAAGGGAAATTTAACGATAGTCAAGTAGACGCAGGGATTAAGTTGCCAACAAGCATGGATAATAGTACTTTGGACTCTGGATCATCAAAAACCAGCAATGCAGAGAATGGAACTAACAGTAGAAGACGGCTTCTTGAAGATGCTGCCTCAAAAGGCTCGGAAGTAGGTGGTTCGGATTCCAAAGCTAGCAATGGGGATGTTCATGCTGCAACCGTGGAGAATGATCAAGGTTTGGAGGCAGATGCTGATTCATCTTTTGAGTTATTACGAGATAGTGACGAGCTGGCTGATGAGTATAGTTATGACTATGATGACTATGTGGATGAAAATATGTGGGGGGATGAGGAGTGGACTGAAACAGACCATGAAAATTTGGAAGACTTTGTCAACGTTGACTCACACATCTTGTGCACTCCCGTAAGTGTATTGGCAGATGAAACTTTTTCTTGAAGATGCTTCTTTGGTATTATTATGAGGCTTCAATTAAGTGTAGTTTCTTTAATTTTCTTCAGGTCATAGCAGACATTGATAATGATGGGGTATCCGAGATGGTTATTGCTGTATCTTACTTCTTTGATCATGAGTGAGTTTTCTCCCATATTGTTTATAATGCTTTTCTTTGCCGTTGTTATTTCTTTCCTGGCTACTTAAATTCTTATTAATTTAGATAGCCTTCAATTCTAATTTGTGAAGTCCAAAAACATGGTTTTGGTGAAAAACTCTTTTAATGATGAGGGCTTGTGTAAAACAGGCGCCAAGCAGAGTACTTTTTCACGGCTAATTGTCGGTTGTATTTCAACTTGATGGAACTTAGACAAGTTTTGACCCTAGCTGAAGTGTATGAGAACAGAATGTTTTCCTTTTCGAACCTCAAAAAAGCATTACTAACTACCTGTGCTCAGCTAAATTAACCCTTTTGGTTCATTTCCTTTATTAAACTGTTGGCTTAAAAAAACAAAGTAAATATATGTTATATCCTTAACAAGTTCTCTTGACGTAGTCCTTGAGTGTAGTCATTGAATCAGTGATCCATCTTAGCCAACTTCCTGTCATTTTTTCATTCATTGAGCTTCTCAGCCATTGATTTTCTTGCATGTGGCTTAAGGCATAGCTGTCCTTTGTCTCTTAGCCAACTTCCTGTCATTTTTTCATTCATTGAGCTTCTCGGCCATTGATTTTCTTGCACGTGGCTTAAGGCATTGCTGTCCTTTGTCTTATAGTTGTTGATATTGGACATTTATTATAGTTAACATAAGTGTGCAGTAGGTTGTGGTCAATTGTGTTTGGTTGTTAATGGGTTGATGTGTTCATGCCTCGAACTGTGCCTGTGAAGTATTTTTGAAATTTTAATTCCCAATTCCTTTGAAAAGCTAATTTATTGGGTAAGTTGCTCAAGGTTTTATTCTTCTCATGTTGTAGGTCTTCTCTTCAGTTTTTAGTAAAGATGGATCTCCAACCACTTATGCTATGTCCATCTGTGCTATTCATTTCAAGTGCTAGATTTACAGTATGATAATTAGGCTTCCCTTCTGCTGATATTGAGGAAATGCTTGAAAATCTTTGTTTGTATCCATTTTTAATTCCTCTCTCTTCTCTCTTGTTATGTATCAAAAAAAAAAAAGGGGGGGGGGGGGGGGGGGATGTGAACTGCATGTTTTTCAGCTAACTAATTGTAAGTGGCCAGGTACTATGACAACCCAGAGCATTTAAAGGAACTTGGTGGTATTGATATTGGAAAATATGTAGCTGGTGGTATTGTTGTTTTTAATCTTGATACAAAGCAAGTTAAATGGACTGCACAGCTAGATCTGAGTACGGATACTGGAAAATTTCGTGCCTATGTATATTCTTCCCCAACTGTTGTTGATTTGGATGGTGATGGGAATCTGGACATTCTTGTTGGAACTTCCTATGGCTTGTTCTATGTCTTTGATCATAAGGGTAATAACCTGAGGCTACTGCTATTGTTTCATTGTTGTTTTTATTCTAAATTTTTATGCTTACTGTGTGGTCTAGATATGTTCCTCTGCAGGCTTTTTTCTTTTCTGTTTATCATGGTGGTAGTAACTAGTTTGACAGCACAATGTTCTTGCTTCTGTATATGCATTTTATTTTGTTTTGGATATGCAGTGTGGGATGTTCTTATCAGGTTCTGCATATTGTTCAATAATACTGTTAGCATTATATATTATTATTTGGATTATTATTTTGTAATTATTCTATGCCTTAGGGTTCCTTGTAATTATTAATCTTCATTAATATAAATAAGGGATGATATCCTAATCATTCCGTAATCTTGGAATTCTCTAAAAATAACATGGCATCAGAGCAAAACCCTAAAACCTAAATTCCTCACCTATACAGTCGTCAATCGCCACTACAGAGCCAAGCGTCACACCCCTTCGACACACACAGAGCTAGTCGTCAACAGAGCCAATCGACACACACAAAGCCACCACAGAGCCAGTCGTCGTTGGGCTCTCCCAGCCTAGTTGGCCACCATAGAGCCAGTCGTTGGGCTCTCCCAACCCAGTCGACCACTACCGTTAGGCCTCCTGGCCTTAGCGTTGTTGGCGAGGGACGAGAAAGGGTGAGTCGTCGTCTGTCCCTATCGACACCTAAACCTCTGCTTCGCCGAGTTACGTGATATGTAAGCTGAGTTACATTCTGTGGTCTGTATTCAACAACTAAACCTCTGCTTCGTTTTCCCCCTTTATTCTATAAAAAAAAAAAGAAAAATGTAGTAAAGAAAAAAAGAAAAAAGAAAAAGAAAAAAAGGGATTGATGTTGATGAAATTTTTGAGTCTTTAATTTTTCTTAGTGGTCATTGTGTTTGTATTCCTCCACCTTTCAGGTTTGTGATTAGCGCTAGTTTTGTTGATGGTTCGGTAGTACAGTATCTATGGTAGATTTCACCGGTGTATCCACTACTTCTCAGACACTTAGGAGTGAGAGTTTCCCTATACTTACTACAATGACTGATAACCCCAACCCTAGTCTTAAAATCACTACATCTCTATTTAATGATCAGAACTATCTTGTGTGGTCGCAGAGTTTGACTATGTTTTTGAAGAGCAGAGGGCAGATGGGGTATGTGGATGGCCGGATACAGGCACCCAGTACAGCTGACCCGGGTTATGACCAATGAGAGATTACCAACTCTTTGATTATGGGTTGGCTTATTCATTCAATGGTGCCAGACATTGGCGAGGGCTACTTATCTATGGAGACTGCCTAAGATATTTGGGATACTGTGGCTACCACCTATTCCTACAAAGGGAATTTCTCACAAGCATTTGAGTTACACCACTCTATTGGGAGCTCTGTTCAGGGGGAGCAAACGGTTCTTCAGTACTTCACCTTCCTCACCAATGGATGGAAACGCCTTGATCACCTGCAGGACTATAAGCCTGTTTGCACTGTCGATTTAGTCGGGTATCGGAAGTTTGTTGCACAGGAAAAGGTCTTCAAGTTTCTGGCCGGTCTTAATGTGGAGTATGATCCGGTTCGGAGTCGGGTTCTGAGTATGGACACCCTTCCTTCACTTCAGGAGGCATTTGCCTATGTACAAAATGAGGAGAGTCGGCTGCTATGATGTCCCTTGTCTTTACCGACCGCTCAGCATTACTGTCTACCTATAGTGATGGCCTCAGCCTGACTCCTATCCCTCCGTCTGCCGCCAAGGAGTTTGTATTCTGTGATTACTGTAAAAAGCCGCGGCATACTCGTGAGACGTATTAGAAGCTTTATGAGATTCCATCCAGGGGTCGAGGTGATCGGTCAGGTACTAGAGGAGGTCGGTCAGGCCAGTCTCGAGGACGTGGCTCCTATCCACGAGCTCATCAGTCTAGTGCCGTTGATACACTTGATGATACTTTCGCTTCCATTGGCCAGGCTTCTAATGGTCTTTATGGCATGACTACCCCTGAGCTTAAGGATGCTCTATGTCACTTGTTGGACCGCCAGTCTTCTACTGCTCTCAGTACATCGTCATCGTTGTTTGCCCGCTCAGTTAACTTAGCCTTTTCTCCTCGTGTTTTCCTGTCTCATAAGTCTTTGCCCTGGATTATTGATTCTGGTGCCTTAGATCATATGTCTGGATTCTCTGACCTTTTCTCTGCCTATAAGCCATCTTTAGGTCAGGACAAAGTTAGGATTGCAGATGGTACTGTTTCTTCCATTTCTGGAAAAGGTTTAGTCCATGTCACTCCTCCCATACCTCTACCTTCTGTTCTCCATGCTTCCAATTTTTCTATTAACCTATTATCCTTGAGTCGTATTACCCAGGATTTGAATTGTAATGTGACGTTTTTTCCTGATCGTTGTCTTTTTCAGGACCTTGTCACGTGGAGGACAATTGGCAGTAGTAGTGCAAAAAATGGTCTCTACTTCCTAGATCAACCTGATAAGCTTGCTCATTCTTTCACCGCGAGTCGTATTACCTAAGATGATTTATGGCTGTGGTATTGACGTCTTAGGCATCCTTCTTTTTATTTACTTAAGCATTTATTTTCATCTAGTTTCGTAAACAATAATGTGTCTGATTTTCTTTGTAAGTCTTGTCAAATTGGAAAACAACACAAAGCTTTTTTTGCTCACAGTTTTAATAAAAGTTTAGTTCATTTTTCATTAATACATTCTGATGTTTGGGGTCCCTCTCGTGTTATGTCTGTAAAAGGTCATCGATGGTTTGTTACATTTATTGATGATTTTTCTCGTTCTACTTGTGTGTTTCTCATGAAAGACGAGTGAGATTTTCTCTGTGTTCCGCAATTTTCATCAGTTGATTTGTACTCAGTTTTGGGCCACCGTCAAAATAGTCCGTTTTGATAATGGGGGTGAATACATAGATTCTGGGTTAGGGCAATATTTTTCTACTCATGGCATTATCCATCAGACCTCTTGCACCAATACCCCTCAACAAAATGGGGTGGCGGAACGCAAGAATTGCCATCTTCTTGAGATGGCTCGATGCATGTGTTTTTCTATGAGTGTGCCTCGATCCTACTGGGGCGACGCTGTTCTCACTGTTACCCATCTTATTAATCGTCTTCCTACCCAGGTCTTGCAAAAACAAGCTCCTCTTGAAGTCCTCCTCGGTTCCCACTCCTTGTTTTCTATTCCTCCCAAAATATTTGGTTGTGTTTGTTTTGTCCATAATTACTCTCCCATTTGTGGTAAGTTGGTTCCTCGCTCCCTTAATGTGTTTTCCTTAGTTACTTTCCTACTCAAAAAGGGTATAAGTGTTACAACCCTCCTTCTTGTAAGTGGTTTGTGTCCATAGATGTCACTTTCTTTGAGTCCCAGTCCTATTTCTTATCCTCTTCGGTGTCACAATCCTCCCTTCAGGGGGAGCCTTGGTGTGAAGTGATTTCTGTGATTCCGATGGTGGAACCAATTGTTCTTGCACCACCACCTGTTACTGGTGGGACTACATAACCCAATGTCACCAAGGATAGGGAAGGGAAAGTTTATGTCAAGGACAAAGACAGACAAAAAGTTAACTGGATACAAGAGATCACTTCTGCTCCTCCATTGCCATCTCCTGCTTCTAATTAGAGTTCAGGTAACTTTGAATCTCTTGAGTCCATTGATCTTGATGTTTTTATTGCCAACAGAAAGGGTGTGCGATCTTGTACTCAACATCCTATCTCACATTTTGTGTCCTACTCTCATTTGTAATCCTCATATAGAGCGTTTGTGTCAACTATTTCCTCTGTTAGCATTCCTAACCATTTTCAAGATGCTCTTGCTACCTCTGAGTGGAAACTTGCCATGATTAAGGAAATTAAAGCACTTAGGAAGAATGTCACTTGGAAATTGACTGAGTTACCTACAGGCAAACGACCTGTGGGATGCAAATGGGTGCATATTGTGAAACTCAAAGCGGATGGTTCCATTGAGCGTTACAAGGCAAGACTTGTGACAAAGGGTTTACTCAGACATATGGCATTGACTATCAGGAGACCTTTGCACCCCGTGGCTAAGATGAATTCAGTTAGAGTACTTCTCTCTCTAGCAGCTAATCTAAATTGGCCAATTCATTAATTTGATGTAAAGAATGTCTTTCTCCATGGTGACTTCGAAGAAAAGGTATATATGGACATTCCTTTTGATTTTGAGGATCTTCAGACAGAAGGCAAAGTATGCAGGTTTCGGAAATCATTATATGGTCTCAAACAGTCTCCAAGGGCTTGGTTTGAGAGATTCACTCAGGCTATGCTTTAATATGGCTTCAAACAGAGTCAGGCAATTCACACCTTGTTTATGAAACATTCTTCACGTGGTAAGACTACAGCATTTATTGTTTATGTAGATGACATAGTTCTTACGGGCGATGATAGTGAGGAAATAACTCCGTTGAAGAAATATTTAGCTAGTGAGTTTGAAATCAATAACTTGGGAACCTTGAAGTATTTTCTGGGAATTGAAGTTGCTCGCTCCAAGAATGGGATATTTATCTCACAAAGAAAGTATGTGCTTGACCTGTTGAAGGAAACTGTGATGCTTGGCTGCAAGGCCTGTGACACTCCACTGGAACCCAATTAGAAATTGGGGGATGATGAAGGAGGAGAAGCTGTTTATAGGGGGAGCTATCAACGATTAGTGGGTAAGCTCGTTTATCTATGTCACTCCCGTCTTGATATTGTTGTTGTTGTCAGTGTGGTTAGCCAGTTTATGCATACTTCTCATCAGATTCACTTCGAGGCTGTCATGAAAATTTTGAGGCACTTGAAGTCTACTCTTGGTAAGAGTTTTTATTTTTCAAAGTATGATCATCTTCGTGTGGAAGCCTATACAGATGCTGGCTGAGCTGAATCAGTAACTAATAGGAGATCGACTTCAGGGTATTGCACCTTTGTTGGAGGCAACCTAGTTACTTGGGAGGAGTAAGAAACAAAATGTGGTTGCCAGGTCAAGTGCAGAAGCTGAGTTTAGAGCTATGGCACAAGGGGTGTGTGAGCTCTTATGGATGAAGTTATTGTTGAGTGATTTAGGTATTGATCAGATGGACTCCATGCGGTTATACTGTGATAATAAGGCCGCTATCAACATCGCTCACAATCCGGTTCGACATGTTGAGATTGATCACCACTTCATTAAGGAGAAACTCACTAGTTGGCATCATATGTACTCCCTTTGTGCAGTCTGGAGAACAATTTGCTGATATCCTCACCAAGGGAGTTTGGAGTAAGCCATTTCATGACATCTTAGGCAAGCTGGGTATGAGAGATATCTTTGCACCAGCTTGAGGGGGAGTGTTAGCATTATATATTATTATTTGAGTTATTATTTTGTGATTATTCTATGCCGTAGGGCTCTCTTGTAATTATTAATCTTCATTAATATAAATAGGGGATGATATCTTAATCATTCCTTAATCTTGGAATTCTCTAAAAATAACAAATACTACTTGTGATTACCATATCCAATGCAGGGGCACCTTGTTCTCCTGATTTTGTTTTTCAGCTGATCAAACCAAGCCTACAAATTTTAGGGTTTCACTTTAAAGTTGCAGGAAAATATTCTCCATGTTTGTTTATCATATTAGATTGCACCAGCTTGTCTACTGACTGTTAGATTTAAGGGTAGCTATCAAACCGCACCCGGTATTTGTCATTGGTTCTACTGTGCCAACTGTTTGGTCCAAGCTCCAGAAAGAAATTTTCATTTATTGAACTAAAGGAGTAAACTTCCTACAAATAAATGGTTCAATTAGTGAACTCTTACAAGGCCTTTTGGTAAAGTTGACAAATCTTGATATTGTATCTAAAGATTTATCAAGAATGGCCTATAAAATAAGTGATGTTTTTAAGAACACTGTAATGTCACTGGATTCACTCACATCTAATTCCACTAGTTAGGGCTGCAAACGAACCGAGCCGAGTCGAGTTTTGCTGAGCTCGAGCTCAGCTCGTTTACTTATCGAGCTCATTTATTGAGTTCGAGCTTGACTCAATAAAATATTGGGCTCGAGCTCGGTTTGGCTCGTTAACATTAATGAAACTCGAGCTTGGCTTGGCTTAGCTCGATAATTGTTTTTTAAAATATTATTTATATTATTTAAATAAAAAATATTATTTAATATATAAATAATGTATTTATATTATTATTTATATATATTTATATATTATTTTATATATAAATAATATATTTATCATATAATGTAAATAAAGATAAATGAGCCGAGTTTATGTGAGCTCAAGCTCAGCTCGTTTACTAAGCGAGCTAAATATTCGAGCTCAAGCTTGGCTTGTTTACAAAACGAATCGAGCCAAGCCGAACCCTTAACGAGCCGAGCTTGTTCATGAACAGCTCGGTTCATTTGCAGCCCTACCATTAGTCGTCTTTTAACTAGCAATGTTATTTTGGATAAGTATACTTTGGACATTGTTGTTTGTTTTTTTAGCTGCTTTTTAAATTCTGTGATTTTTCCATGCTTAATTCTTTTTGGAAATTTTAGCACTGAAGTGTATCTTATTCAGGCAAGTTGAGGGAAAAATTTCCTCTTGAAATGGCTGAAATTCAAGGAGCTGTAGTTGCAGCTGATATCAATGATGATGGCAAGATTGAGCTAGTTACTACTGATACACATGGAAATGTTGCTGCATGGACTGCACAAGGAAAAGAAATTTGGGAAAGACATCTTAAAAGTCTTGTTCCACAGGTAGGATGTAGCATCTTATTTCCTTGTTTTATCAAGTGTTGCAGGGATTGTTATAGTTGAAACCATAAAAGTGATCCCGCATGCTTCATCCTTATTAAATACTTTTGTGTTCCTCAGGGTGCCAGTGTTGGTGATGTAGATGGGGATGGCCATACTGATGTTGTAGTTCCAACACTATCGGGAAATGTATACGTTCTTAGTGGCAAGGACGGGTCAGATATTCGTCCTTATCCATATAGAACTCATGGGAGAGTGATGAATCAAGTTCTTCTTGTTGACTTGAGCAAACGCGGGGAGAAAAAGAAGGGTCTGACTATTGTTACTACATCATTTGATGGTTATTTGTATCTTATAGATGGACCCACATCATGTGCTGATGTAGTGGATATTGGTGAAACTTCGTAAGATCCCTTTGAAACTTTTAAATCTCTTTGATGCATGAACTCTTCTATTTGATCTGTCAAAATTCAGCTGAAATGTGAATCATTTACATAACAGATATAGCATGGTATTGGCTGACAATGTTGATGGCGGAGATGATCTTGACCTTGTTGTGGCAACAATGAACGGCAATGTCCTCTGTTTCTCTACCCCAGCTCCTCATCATCCACTCAAGGCAGAATAGAACTTAATCTGATTTGTTCTAGCACAATGACATTATACTATCCAAGTTTATTGATATTTAATTAAGTATTGTGCAATTTCAGGCATGGAGAGTGCATAATCAGGGACGAAACAATGTTGCAAACCGCTTCAATCGTCAAGGCATCTACATTTCGCCTTCATCAAGAGCTTTCCGCGATGAAGAAGGCAAGAATTTCTGGGTTGAAATTGAGATTATAGATAAATACAGGTTTCCGTCTGGGTCTCAAGCACCTTATAATGTCACAGTAAGATGCTCTTCCCTACCCTGGTTTCATTTTGTCGGGGAAAATGATATTTACATACAAAAAGACATCCAGAATGATGTGTCCATGGCATTTGAAAAAAATTGAGGTTGATGATGGGTGTTTTGAATAGAAATGAAAGGATCACAAGAAGTCACATCATTCTGTATGAAAATTCTATATACAGATTCTGTTTGTGTATCATCACTCATTTGTCAGCCATCTCAGCATCTAGCTAAATCTTTTCATTCTTCTAACCAATATTTATGATATTTTATTAAAACAACAGACAACATTGTTAGTTCCTGGAAATTACCAAGGAGAGAGAACGATGAAGCAAAACAAGATCTTTGACCGTGCTGGAAAATACAAGATTAAGCTTCCGACAGTGGGAGTACGAACCACGGGGACAGTTTTGGTGGAGATGGTCGACAAGAACGGACTACATTTCTCAGATGAATTCTCACTCACATTCCATATGTATTACTACAAACTATTGAAGTGGCTTCTTGTCCTTCCTATGCTCGGGATGTTTGGTGTGCTCGTGATCCTTCGTCCACAGGAGGCCATGCCGTTGCCGTCCTTTTCACGAAACACCGACTTGTGATAATTAGGTCATATCAAAATGTGATGATACATGGTTGTCAAATCTCACAGAACGCGAATAGTTGCACGTATTGACCAGATGCCAGAAACATCCAATTGTGATGGCCACATTTGAACACTTGCATGGGAAGCAGATGAGGTAATGTTGACTGATACCAAGTTTTGAAGATACCAAGTGAGACCTTTGTAATATTTTTTCCGGATCCAGTGATTTCTTGATCCCCATTTTGTGTGCGTTCTGTCTGATGTATTTTGTTCAACCCATTGTGAGGTATAATCCGAGGATAATTGATATTTATTGACTCTAGGATTTTGTTTTGAGAAAATGTTTTTAAAGTGTGTGTGAAATTGTTAATAGGATGTTCAATTTAATGGTGGAATTATTTCGGATTCCATGGTTAGGTTCAACAGACATCAACATGAATGCATTTCAAGTATAAGAGTAGCTCAATAAATTAGAATGTTACAGTTGACAGAATTGAGGTTTTTTGGTTCAAAAAAATGATGTCAACGTGACTAAATATTGGATACTGTCTTGTGATATTTTTGAAACCCAATAGATTGTTTGAATTAAAGATTAGAAATTGCGCCAATCACTTGGGTAAGAGATTGCATTGATCCTCTATCTCATTATGAACAGTGCTCTCTTTGGGCGAATATATCTTTTTATGAAATATTTTTTTCAGAAAATAAAACATTTTTATATATTTGGTGGTGGTGGTGGGATGAAGGTGGCGGTGGAGTGGCGGCGAAGTGGCTACGGTGGTGGTGGTGTTGGTGGTGGTGTGGTGGTGGAGGTGATAGTGTAGTAACATTGGTAAGACTTTAGTTCGGAAAATATTTTTCGCCTTTTAAAAGTGAAATATTTTTTACTAAAATAGACTTCGTTTTTTTGTTGATCATGAAAAATATTTTCTATTTGCTTTCATTTTTTCATTGTACCAAAATTGTTGATCATGAAAATACAAAAAACATTGCGGACCCTCAATGTGCTGTGGATTTCAGGAAATTTCAACATCCTTCAACAAAATAAGAATAGACCATTAAACAGCAAAGTTGAATAGTATGTTTCAATCGAAGTATACAAAATGAGAGCCTTAATTCTCAACCTATTAGTTTAAATGTAAACAAAAACATAAAAAGAAAATTTCGAAAGAAAAATCAAATTGACTGTAGGATAATAGGCCTCTTACCAAGCCTCTTGATCTCTCTATCCATTTGACCAGTAATCATCAACCTAAACACCTTGAAATCACACAAAAGAGACCAAAATGGATGGCCAAAACTGGCTGGAAAATTCCCTTCAACAAAGAAATGACTGTACCATGATAAACCATATCCAAACAGAGAATACTAGTGAGTGTGCCCACAAAATGCCAAAGCCTTGTGGCTGGTTTTGAGTGCTGGTTCATGTAGAAAGTCCAGAACTCTTCCATGCTTCTGAAATTCATTTCTTCGATTGAAAAACCCAAATCAGAATTTGGCTGTTTGGGACTTCTTGAAAACCCTGATCTCAATATACTCAACTCAGAGTCTTGGATTATTGGGTGTTTGGTTGACTTAGTATTCTTGAAATTGTGATTTGGAAACAAACCTAAAAATTTGGAAGCCTGTTGGGTCTATCCCGCATCGACTCGGAAGGGACTCGTCATCTACCTTATAAGCGTACTGGCCCCCTCCATCTGTCAACAGGCCTTCTGGGGACAAGCTCAAAGCAACCTAACCCCAGGAACAAAACCGTGAGGGGGTAAACTCAAAGCGGCCCAACGCCAAAGCGGACAATATGTTGCTCTGCCGGCTGAGCTGTTCCAGCACCCTCGGCCATGCGGTTAATGCTGTTGGTAAGCTCGATGAAATATTGGGGTGGGTTGTTTAGATTGGGGAGGTCAGTTTGATGGTCGACAGCATTATGGTGAGAAGCCACAGATCTAGTCGTGACCATACACTTTGATGCGTAGTAGGAAAGGGTTATTGGGACAGGATCTCCGGCGACAATGAGTACAACTGGCGTGCGGAGCAAAGCTTTCCCACAGACGGTGCCAACTGATAATATAGTTCGTGATGGTAGGATGGATCAGACTGATCCACGCTCCTCAAGCCTTTGTTCGAATTACCAAGCCCACCGGAAGACCTGCACAAGAGTTCAACGGGGAACGGAAAGTCCCCCAGCGAACCTTCCGACGAGCGAGTTAGAGAGAGAAGTGAAGAATGTAGATAGATTAGAGGTAGAAAAGCTTAACCTTCATTTTGTCTTCAACATCTGCTTATATCCTCTGGTAATCATTTCGTTGTCCCTTTCGACCGGTCATCTTGGCTGAAAGTCTATACTGTAGCTTACCTTGTTCAGGGTGAGGGCGTGCTGTCCCGACGGAGAGGGGTTATCGCAATAAATGCTGTAAGGGGCCTCATTAATGGCGATGTGGCGTAGCAATAACTTTGCAGATCTTTATCTGCTGTTGTGGCTTGCCCTTCTCTTGCCATGTGTCTTGATGCCATTGGTTCTTATTGCTATGTGAGGCTTCAGCAGTGCTGGGTTTCATTAATTGGATTATGTATTGGGCCCTAAGTGGTGGGTTTGGGTTGTTCATAGTAGGCTGTAGCCTTTATGGGCCTACCCATGTCAAAGCCAAACTAGGTTTTGAAGATGGTTGAATCAGTAGTTGTATGCCAGTTCTGTGGGAGCGGTTATAATGCGTACTTGTACCTTGTAAAAGAAGTTATACTTTTTGTAAGAAAAATTATACATTTTGTGAGATAAAAGTCACGATTTTTGTGATGAATATTATGAATTTTAAAGTTATAATGTGCACTTTAAAAGTCATGTATAACTAAAATTATACATTTTATGAAAACAAAACAAATTATATTTTTTATAACAAAAGTTAATACATTTTGTGAAAAATATTATACTTCTTATAAGTAGGGGTGTGCGCGGTGCGGGTCGGTGCGGTTTGAGAGAAAAATAGAAACCGTATGGCGGGTGGCGGATTGATAAAAGTGTCACTAGAATTTGCCATTTTCCTTATCAAAAACCGGCGGTTCGGTTGGCAAATAATAGCGGATTTGCCTTGGCGGTTCGGGCGGATTGGCGGTTTATAAAAAATATAATTCAAATTACAAAATTTAAATCAAAGAGTAAAAAAAGAACGAGAGATACCGTGATGTTAAGCATCTTGCGAAACTTTCTTCTGATGCAGTAAGTGTAGCAACAACATGATAATATCAACGACTATGCCATCAGTTCATTACAAGCATCTGTGGAAGCTACAATGATCAAATACAATACATAAAATTAATATAATTCAGGGTTTACAATATATTGAAAATGTTTACTGTTGAAAAGTATTTAGATTGAAAAGTGAATTGGAATCCAATTTTATTTTGGATTACTGATATCTTGAATTCCCCTCGAACAGTAATGTAATACCATATTCTAAGGTATAGAACAACAAGCAAACTTAAGTAAAAAAGAATTTTTAGAATCTTATAAAACATGATTTAATAGCGGTGCGGGTCGGTGCGGTTTGGAAGAAAAATAGAAACCGGCGGATTGATAAAAGTGTCACTAGAATTTGCCATTTTTCTTATCAAAAACCGGCGGTTCGATTGGCAAATAATAGCGAATTTGCCTTGACGGTGCGGTTCGGTGCGATTTTGGCGGTTTCGGCGGTATTATGCACACCCCTACTTATAAGATACATACCATGTGCACTCAACTAGAGGGCCCATTATAGACTTTTCCCAATTGGGATTGAGAAGTTTGAAACATTTAAAGAATTCCCAAATGGAAGTTGATAGGTGAGTGGTCACTCTCTGTAGGTTTGGGGCTTCATTTGAAATTACAAATCATGTGTGGTTTGGGGCTTCATTTGAAATTACAAATCATGTGTGGCTGTTGATGCTCTGGTAGTACAAACACAATAAAAAATCAATTATTGAAACCCTACTCTTCTTGAAAAATTCATGTGGTGTCTTAACGACACTAGAGTTGACTAGGTAGTTAAGGCTTGAAGTATGGGATTACACTTCCTCCATAGTTTTAGATTCGAAATTTTTTGGATGCAAACAATTTTTAAGGCAAAATCCATTTGTCCCAACTTTAATTAGACCTCCATTAGTAGACGATGAGATTATTTTTGAAATTAATCAGTCCTTAAAAGCCAAATACCAAGTTATAAGAAAAATATATATGTTGCCTCAACAACACCCCCATATATTGAAGGGAATTAATCCACATAAAAATACCTAAAAAAATTATAAGGGTTTAGGTCTCACACCATCTGATTTGTATGTGCAAAAGAATACCCAAACCTTGAAAATAGGTGAATTAGGAAAGGTAAAGATTATATTATTATTTTTAAATGCTTCACAAACCTACTCCGAAGTAGTTGGTACAATGAGACTGTCAATGATCAGTTCTATGTACGTATCTTTTTTTGTCCTTTCTATTTTTCCTTTCCACCTTACCAAACAACTTGCTAGCTAGATCTCACAATTCACACCTACCTCCCATAATTAGATTGTGTTTGGTGAGGGAATTTAAAAAGAAATTTAAAAGAGAAAGAAAAAAATAGGTAAAATGAAAATAAAATATACTTATATTTTATTAAATTTCACACATATTTTTTTTTTTTTTTTAAATCATTTCCTAATCTCCCAATCAAATACAGCCTTAGCGTAAAAATAAGCAAACAACATCACATTAATCCATACCAAACTCAACAACACATTCCTACCTACTTGTTTGGCCGCTGATGAACTAATAGAAAATCTCTTTTTTCTATCAAATAATTAAAAAAAAAAATTAGAGAAAGACAAATCCATCTAATTTGCGCGATGGACACACCCTTGATTTCATTTTTCAATCGAATTTAACAGGGAAATTGAGCCAAAATCCTTTCATTGAATTCTGATTTGGTAAAAAGAACAGCTCAATTTATTTTGTTTCATAAACTTTCTAAGGAGAAAACACATAATTAAGTAAGAACAAATAAAAAATATATATTTTTCTTCTTGAATAATATTACCAAAGTAACATGTTACTGTGAGAATCAAACAGAATAACTGTCAAACAGAGTAACATGTTACTGTGAAACTAAGTAATATGTTACTATCAAACAAAATAATATGTTACTGTTTATATCAATTTCGATGGTAATTTTTTTTTTTTTTAAGAATTACATGGTCAATATGAATCTTATTTGATAGATTTTGATAAGAAAATTTTAAAAATATTAACTTTATTAAAAATCAACATCTACATTAAAAATTATATTATTTTAAAATTTAATATTTTGATAATAGTGATATGTGTTAAGATTTTTCAAAGAAATTTTTTTTATAGTTATTATTATGAGGGTCTTTGATCAAATCCCCCAATTTAATACAAATTCCAAGTCTATACAAAGATATACTAGAGCCAGTTAACTTGAACACTGTCTCTTCCCACTCTCTATCTTCTTTCTCTGATGCACAATATATAACAAACTGTACAATAAAAAATATAAAAATAAAAATAAAAACAAAATCACCTTTCGATCTAGACTACAAATGCCAGAAAGAATGTCTCAAAATTTCAACCCTTAATACATATTTGCATATTTTCCTTCCTCCTTTTGTTTTTCTAGGATACATCCAATTTTTCGGATGTTGGAAAACTGAGGAGGTAAGTGTAAATTAATGTCTAGAAGACCCGATCTCCGGTAGCATGGAGGTTCCAGAAGATGGTTGCAGCAAAGTAGAGAGCAGCAGTGACAGTAAGGAATGCTTGAAAAGATCCGAGCCATTGCACAAAGTAACCTGTTCCGATTGTGCTCATTATTGCTGCCAATGTAGCAATTGAATTTGAAATGCCTGCACGATAAGTGTGGAAAATGGAAGAATGTTAGCATTCGTTTGTGAGGTAGTAGGCCTCTTGGCCATGTAAGTGTGTCTTCTTTGGACACGTGTCTCGAGCCTTGTTATATTTCTTTCTTTTTTGGTTATAAAACGATTACTAATAAAAAAATAATTAATAAAGTAATCAATCTTTTAAGAACTAGCAGGTCGTGTTTTTTTTTTTCATTTCCTATACAAATTCAAGATCCAAACACAGGCGAAAAAAAGTTTTCAAGGAGGAAGAAATGTATTGATGGATTTGAGAGCATACCGTGGAGGAATCCTGATGACTGAGGAGCAATGTCCTGATCACACAATGAAAGCTAAGTCAATATTTTTGACCCACAAGGAGGTAAAACAACTTGGCATTGAAGAACTATGATTAATTGTATAGAGAATCATAAAAAACTTTGGATTTGTTGATAAAAGTTTGCAATAATGAAATGTCTTCACTTACTTGCATATTAAGTAGAAAACCAGCTTGGCTGAAAGAGCTCAAGCTCAGGGCTGCTGTGATGAAAATGGATGCAACCACCGGTGTCTTGGCAAAGTTCAAGCAGAGTAATGATATCCCGGGCCCAATGAAACCAATAGACTGTCACGAATTATGATAGCCAATGTCAGAAACAAATTACACACAATTTGATTTTTTTTTTTTTTAATTTTTATAATTTAAATACTTTTTTTTTTTTGAAAAATGGGTAATTAAAGACTTGCCTGCATGATTTTGCGGACTAATGTTATAGGGTACCCTGCTTTGATTAAGAAATCTGAAGTTACTCCTGCAGCGTAGCCTGAAAGTGCCATTGTTCCCCATGGTACCGCACTAAACCAAGCCGCTTGTTTTAGATTCACATTGAACACCTATTAGCACAAACCAGAAAACTTGATTAGTACTTGCACTATTAGGATTGTGCAACATTTCATGGCACTATAATCGCCTACTATAGTAAAATAATGTGCAAATTAAATGTGAGAAACAAATATTTAGATTAACTAATACTTTGTGATAGAAGGCAATATTCTATTTTTGCAAGCTTATCTTAATAAGTTCCATAGCTACATAACAGAACTTGAACAATTTGGTAACTATGCAAAATTGTAGCCAAAATTACAAGAAACTACAAGGTGCCAATGTAAGAGAATGCTCACCGTTTTAAAATAAACTGGCATCCATGTGAGAAGAACAAAGTATCCCTGCATTTAAGAACAAATTTCAAATTCTTAATGAAAATTTGAATACAAAATAAATATTTGTATTTCACTGTAAATAAGGACCAAGGACAACTTACCCAATTGTTAGTAATGTTAGCAAAGATAATTGCCCATGTTGGCCGTTTTGACAGTAGGAGGTGCAGAGATGGAAGCTCGCCCTTGTTTGCTGAAGTGTCAGGCTTTCCAGCTTGGATCAAACGCAGCTCTGATTTGCTGATAAACAGGCATTCTTGGGGATCGTTTGTAACCCCATATGCCCATGTAGAGAGCCAGAGTAGTCCAAGGCATGAGAAGAAGATGAAAGGACCAGCGATTCCAATCGATGACATAGCTATAGGAGTGAGTACTAAGCCCACAACATTTCCAAGATGAAATCCTCCCATAGATATTCCAACTGCTGTGGCTCTTTCATGGCTTGGAAACCACCTGATAAGATGTAGATACATTACAACTAGTGCAACATTCAGAACTAGCATATCGGCATATTTGTATCATGTGGTATATGAGCATTACATGTTCAGTGAACTCAACAAGAAGGAAATGAGCATTACCTTGATAAAAGGGTGTTCATGGAAGGAAGAGCTACACCTTCAGCAAGACCAAAGAAGGCACGAACAGCCAAGAGGCTGGTTGTCGAGTGGTTTGCAGCCCATGGGGTGAGGAGAGTGGCCAAAGACCACAAGGCCACGCCCCAAGCGATCACTCTCTTTCCTCCATATTTGTCTACCAAAGCTCCTCCAACAACTGATGAAAATATGTATCCCCATAGAAATGAGGACTGGCCATGTAAAAGTAATATCAAATATGTTAGCATATCAAATAATCAACATGACTGAGCAAAGAAAATATCAGTCCAATTTGAGTCTCAAAGACAAACATGTAGGCTTGTTTGGTTTGTATTTGTAGAGTAGTTTTTAAGATAAAAAGTATGAAAATTTGTTTGGTTTGTCTTTTTTCAGAAATGGTTTTGAAAAATTGTTTTGAGGAGAGAGTTTTAAAAAAAATGATTGATTTGATGTATATGAGAGAGAGTGTGATTTTGGAAAGTAAGTAACCAAACAAAATTTTAAATTTTTTTTTGAAAAAATTTATTTGGTCTGATTACTCTTAAAAATTTGTTTGTAGAAAATTTTTTCTCAAAATTTTTTCAAAAAAACAAACCAAACAAGCCCGCATCAATCATCAATGGCTAACCAACCATTGTAATCTAATGAGAAAATTTTTTATGAAACGGATGCACCACACCACTCCACATTTCTAGTGTTTAATGCAAATTTCAATAATATGTTTTTTTTTTTTTGGGTTACGAATATCTATTTTTTGGTTCTCTTTTGACATTACCCAAAAAATAGAAGGAAAAAAAAAAAAAGAGAAAGAAAGAAAAAAACAAATAGAGGTGTCGTTTGGGAAGTGAGTTAGTTTTTTGGTTTTTTCATTTTTTGACTATTTTAGCCTGGGTTAAAAAGTTTGGTTTGGGAAAGACTTTTTGACTTTTTTTTTTGTAAAAAAAAAGTGTAATAATTATGAGTTGGATTATTTTGTCTTTTGTAACTAAAATAATAAAAAAAACCCAAAATAAAACTTCCCAAACAGAGCCATGGGTGGAGACGCTACTCTTCCACTCAATGTATCATTCCTACCATCCACACTTAAATCCCAACATCCTCATTATGAAGAAATTATTACGTTGTCGGAGCACTACCTAGGCTATGTTTGGTATAGGTTATTTGAGCTAACAAAAAGATAAAATAAGTTAAAAAAATAATAAGAAAAAATGTCATATTTAAATTATAATTATTTTATTTTTTTTCTCAAACAAATCAAAAAATTCAAAAATCTTATTTCAAACGAAACTTTTTAACCTCAAACTAAAATAGTCAAAAAATCAACCCACATCCAAACAAAGGCCTAATACTTCACAAAGCTTAATATAAATGACACTCAACCGCTTATTTATAAGTGGCATGCCTATTACCACGGTTTCGTACTTTAAGGGGACAGTTAACTAAGCTCCCAACAATATTGTGAAATATCATGTCACTCATGCAACTTGATACATATGAAAAAATTGAATAATTTTATTTTCAATTTTGGGACTAAGGAGACGCAATTTATTAAGAAAATATTTTTTAATTTTAAAAACTCAATCATACAAAGCAATTAATTTTCTAAAAGGTCTCTCATCCTTATACAAATTTTCAAAACCTCAAGTATAATATCATAATTTCATACGGTTGAATAAAAACTGAATATAAATATTAATAATTAATAAGCAATTTTAAAGTTAGCATATTTATTTACTTATGAGGAAATTAAATGTGTTTGGTAGGTGCCCCTTCCTTTCAGTTCTTGGTAGATATGGTGAGCAATAGTGGGGTCCACCAAGAGTTAAACCATCCCCCTTGCCAATTCAGCTGGCAGATAAGACCTCGTTTGGAAAATATTCCAATTAATTAGTCAAACAAAAAGTATGTGTAGCCGATTTGGTAGTTGCATTCATGGTCATCACTTTTCTCATCTTATTAATTTAATCATGTAGTCCTCTGATAATAATTTTTTTTTAAAATTAATCGATTGTATTATTATGTTATAATTTTTTGGGAGACTTAATAGGGTAAGTCCTGTGTAATTTCTTATAGAGTCTCAAGTCCTATTTAGATAGGAATACATTCCACAAAATCCTACATAAACGTAACGTAACGTGATACCTATATAAACGTAACGTAACGTGACACCTATATAAACGTAATGTGACACCTACATAAACGTAACGTAACGTGTCACGTTACGTTTCGCAAACTTAATGAGTTTTTATTTTTTTAAATTGAATGTAAAAATGTTGTTGGTTTATGTTGGTGTCACGTTACGTTTCATATAAATATGATCTATGGTAATAGGAAATTGAATGTTGCCATAGATCATAGGTGTCACATGACGTTTATATAGGTGTCACGTTACGTTACGTTTATTTAGATATGATCTATGGTAACATTCAATTTCTTATATAAGAAACTGAATGTTGTCATAGATCATAAGTGTCACGTTACGTTTATGTAGGTGTTACGTTACGTTACGTTTATATAGATATCATCTATGGTAACATACAATTTTCTATATAAGAAATTACATATTACCATAGATCATAGGTGTCACGTTACGTTTATGTATATGCCACGTTACGTTACGTTTATATAGATATGATCTATGGTAATATTCAATTTCTTATATATGGTTTTACTATTATTTATGATATTAACAACTAATATTGAGGGTAAATGTGTCAACAAACTTCCCACAGGACTTATGAGAACCTAAGTTTTTTAGTAGGACCATATGTAGTATAAGTCTCCCTAATAGAACTTATAAATAATTTTCTCTAATTTTTTAAGATAAATTTTAACTAGTGTCTCAAGCGTTGGTTTTAATTAAAATTGTGACGAAAAATGTTTTTTTAAATTAATCGATCATATTATCAAGTTATAATTTTTTTAGGTAAATTTTAACTAATGTCTCAAGCGTTCGTTCCAATTAAAATTGTGACGAAAAATGTCTTCAAAATAAGTATAAAAGTTTAAAATATATTGGCTCTATTTGGTTTAATTTTTTTAAATTTTAAAAAATTATTTCTAGATAAAACTATATGAAAATAATGAGTGTTTTTTATTTTTCACTAAAATAATTTGTAAATGTTTAGAAAAAAATAAATAAAAATAAATATTGAAAATCAAACCAAACGATTAAAATTGATAAAACAATATCTCTAATTTCTCTTATTTTGTCTTTTTTTTTGTATATTTTATTTATCACAGTATGTCACAATATATTAATATATTGATAACAAATACAACCGGTGAAATTCATACGTATGTAGTGTAACAGTTGGTAGACAAAATGATTGTGTTATTATTTTCCAATATACATGGTATACATTTTTAAGAGCTCCTAATTTAAATCATCAAAATATTTTTTCAAACCTTTCATAATTATGTAATTTACTACTATGTGTTATAACAAAGTCTCACTATTTTTAACATAAGAAATAAATTCAATAATAAATAACAATTATCAGTATTTTTCTCAACAACATAAAAGAAATAATAATCAATGATTGATACAGGGTACACAAGACTTGTCTGTACCAAGAAATTTTCCTCCACACACACAAAAAGCCAAACTTTCCAGGAAAACAAGAAAGAAAGTGGGAGAGAAAAAAAATGAACCTGGACGATGCCTAAGAAAGAGCTGCTCCAGCCATGTTTGGCAGCAAGAGGAACGATAGCCACGGACATTACAACTCTATCCGCATTACACAAACACATGACACAAGCCATTAAAGCCACCACCTTAAACCTCTCCGGCACGGCTGTCAAATTACCTTCTTGCCCTCTCCCCCCAACAAGCAACCCCCTCTCTATCCCCTCCGCCGTACACTTCACCTCCAATCCTCCTCTCTGCTTCTCTCTCCCCTTGATCCTCTCTCTCTCTAATGAAAATCCATTTTGTGCCCATTTGGTACTGATTTTTCTCTCAAATCCCAAATGGGTCCTCTTAAAACTGACTGAATCGAAATGGGTTTTGAAGAAACATGAAGAATTTGGATTGGATGATGATGAATGTAACAGAGATTTAGTTGGAGTAAAGGCAGCCATGAGAGAGAAGAAGCTCCAAGAGAGGGAGGGACAGAGAATTAGATATATCTAATGCTAAATGGAACTCTTTAAATGAACCATTTAATAGATAGATCAACCAAATTCAAAAATGGTGGTTTTGCTAGTTTGAAGGAGTTGATTATTTATTGCCAACTTATTGGCAAGATTTGGATTAGAGATTTGTAGCATAAATAGAAACAACAATGTTAGGTGCCTCAAAATTTTATTAAATATTTGATCAAATATTTTATATGATGTAAATCTACGTTCCGTAGAACTCACACTTATATGATAAATTTGATTAAATATTTAATATAATTTTTGGTATTCCTAACCTAACTCAAATAGAAAACAGGGAGGGAGAGAGAAAAAGCAAATCGTGTTTTGGGGTTGGTGAGTCTTTTTATTTTCGTGGGTTGGTGAGACTTGGCCACTACTACTACAAACAAATATAGGAGCATAAAAGGGCATTTATGTCATATTAAAAATAATGTATTACTACTAATGGAGAGTGTTTTGAAGTATTCATTAATTAAAAATAATTGATGTTAGGAATCTTAAATATTGTATCAAATATGTCACATAGGGATGAGATTCACATGAAACTCATAATATGGTACTCCCTCCGTCCCAAAATATTGGTCCCTTTTGGGGAATCCAACTTTTTTTGGTAGTACACTTATTGCATTTGAAAAAAGTTGATTTTCCAAAATTACCCTTTAGATAGTACATTTTTTGGGAATATCAATATCATAATTGTACTTTTTAAATTGTTTATTAATTTAAAATAAGGGCAAAATAGGAAATTTATATTATTTTTGTGCTTGATTTATAAAGAGGGACTAATATTTTAGGACAATGAAAAATGGAATAAGGGACTAATATTTTGGGACGGAGGGAGTATGAATTTCACACTTATATGAGACATTTAATAGAACATTTGGTAAAATATTTAGGATCTCTAATATTTTTCATTAAAAATAGTAATCCTTTACATATTATGGGAAGTAAAATACATAATTATTTTAAACTTGTTGATAAATAATAGGGTGGTTGGCCTAATAGTTCATGAAACTATAATTTAAGATGGTGAGAATGTTAGAGGTTTATGGTTTGAATCAAGGAGTGACTGCGACCCTTCTGTTGGAATCTAACTTATTAATCTAATTTTATAAACTAATAGTTAATAATCATAAAGCAAGAACTAAAATTACTTCTTTATCTGCTTCTCAATAATTAATTTATTTAATTTATTTAAATTAAACCTATTTCATAAGTTATAAATTATAAATAGAAATTATACTGAATACAAATTTATTAAATAAAAAAAATTATAAGCCGCATAAGATATATCAAATAAGGTCGTAATTATGTATTTGACTAATAGTGTTTTGTAATATTTTTTATTTTTATTTTTAAATTATGTAGACATATAATCCGAAAGATTTTTTTTTAACTTTTTATAAAAAAAAAATATGTAAAAAATAATAATTAATTTTTTATAGTAATTTTTCTATTTTTTTAGTCTATTATCAAAACAATCATTAATATTCTGAAAAATATAATGATTTCTCCATTAATAAAGTCATTAAAAAATTACTTTCTAAAATCAAAAAAAAAAAAATTATGTATGCATGGAAAATTGTTGTCCACGACCGAGTACTTCTACGTGGCAACACGTGTCTCCTCTTGGGTCGTTTGTCACCAACCACAGTGGGGTGCCTAACCGCCAACTTGCCAAGCCAACTATTCAGCGGCAGATTTTACCGGGAACCGGTAACATCCGGTGATCAATTGTCCCCATAGTATGTTAACGTGGTTCGATGGTAGTTTAATAGGGTAAATAGATGCATTTGTGGCCGTTGATTGTGAGGAATGAGCTTTTGAGATCAACGGCGTGAAAGGTTCTTGCGAAAAAGTGTTGACGAGATCAACTTACGCGGCGTGAGGATAGCTTTAATGTGCTGGAATCAAAATGGATAAACCCCGTTAGGTTTGGCGTAGTCACGTTTAGTACACGGCCCTTAGCCATTGGTATTAAGGTTGATTTTTCACATTTAGTTGCTCGTGAATTGAAGATTTTTAAAATTAAAAAACAATTAAAAAAATAAAAGACAATAATTTTTTTTTAAATAATGTTATGCTTTATGAAAAAATATGAAGAAAATTTTATGAAACTTTTAGAAATAATCTACTGTGATATGTAACAAAATGAGAAAAACGACTTACATTAATGTAAATATGTTTTAATTTTAAAGTCGTCTGCAAATAGTAAAAGTTTAGTTTTGTCTTATAATACTTTATGATTGATAGATTATAGTGTCTGTGATTGCATAATATATAATAAAACACCATAACTTAATCCCTGAGTAAAGAATCTTTATGAAAAATTTTCTGATATTTCTCTCATAAAATCTTTTTTTTTTTTTAACCTTTTAAATTCGTGTGCACAAGATGGGCTGAGAAAGTTAAAAATTTTGACATAATTCACTAAAGACAAATTTATTCAAAAAAAAAAGATGACTTATTTAACTGACCTCAAAACAGCCCTCAAATATGCTAAAAATTCATAATTTAATCATAAATGACACGAGACATATGAGGTAAATTTTATATGATTGAATTTATTACAAATCAATAACTTGTTATGTCATTGTTAGCAAGTTGAGATTTCTTTTAAAAAATTATTAAATATCACTTGTGATAATGCCGCAAAGGTGATCCATATCATCCATTAGTATGGAACTCACTCCAATTGATGTGGGGCCTCCTCTAATGGATGGTGTGAATCATATTTTAATTCATGAAAGGTACCTTTTACATGATTGAAATTGTAAGAAATTAAAAATAACAATGCTACATACTTTTAAAAAATACTACTTTCACTCACCTGTGATTGGTTTAGAAAGGAAAAAAAAAAAAAAAACACAAATAATTGACTCATATCATTTTGGAGGTCATGGGAATCGCCATCTTTAGGAGTCCCAATTATTTTTGAATTAAAAATTAAAACGTAATATATGTTATTAAGAATGAATTATGAATTCCAAATTGGGTTGGGCTTCACTTAAGAGGCCCACAAGATTTATCATGAATTTTATTTAAATGATTCCCATCGTTTATTTTTTAAAATCTTCTATATATATCTTCTATGAAAAACATAAAGTCGATCCGATAATTACCATGTTTTTATTTTATCTTATTTATTTCTGAAAAAGTAGATGACACGTACGTTTTTAAGAATAGATCATTGATTTTTTTTTTTAAAATAAAGACGATAAAATAAAAACAATAAAATTATCAGATCGGCCATTTTTTTTTAATTAATAATATAAGTAAAAGGGCTTACAAAATAACTACCTGGAGATTGACCTACAAAATAATATAAATAAAAGGGCTTATTAATAATATAAATAAAAGGGCCGTAGAGTCAAATTCTCTCATAGTTGAATTTATTAAACTTCAAACTCAACCCTTCTAAATTATTTTACTTTATTTATTTTTATTTTATTTTGGGTGCCAAAAAGTGGAGATTGACTAGAATATTGGGAAGGCTATTTGTGTTTCGAAAGGGACCAGCCACTCCTCTCTACTTAGAAAGATGTTCGATTCTTTTCACATTGTTCTATGGAACCCTCTACTAGTCTTATATGGATAATTTGAATAATTTATTTTATAAATTTTTTGTGTAATTCAATTATAAAAAATAAATTAATTTGATAATAATTGTCACAATTTTATGTTATTTGTTTTCAAATAGAGTTTGTCTCTTTATCAAAAAAAATGGAAGATTATTTTCAATATAATACTGAATGCCTATTTTTTAAAAATAAAATTATGCAATTATAATTATTAAATCAATTAATTTTTTTCCATATATGATTTACATAGAGACTTATAATAATTCGAATTATCGAACCAAACAAGCGGTAGAACCCACATAACACAATTGAATAATCTTAACTTCTTTAGAATTAGAGAGAGATTGTCCTTTAAAAAAAATTGTCTTGAAAATGAAGTGAATGAAATATATTTATATTTATTACCTATAAGTCACATTTAAAATAAAATTTAGATTTTTTTTATCTTTTATTTTTTTGCTTGTGTAGTTTCTTTATTCATTACCAAATTTTGAAGGCAAACATCTCAACTAGGGTAGGTGTTAGAAAGGAGGACTCGAGAGAAAAAAGTATGAACCTACCACCGTAGGTCCTACCCAAATGCGACCTTACATTATCATGATATCATTAATTGTTTCTTATTTTTATTTCAACTTTTATAGGTGTTTCATTACATGTCACTTATTTCCATTAATTTTTGAATTAGTATCTCCACATAGGTAAAAAAATCATAAATATTTATATAAGAGAGGAAAAAAAACAAGGAAAATTTACCCATCACCCAAAAAACAATGACAAAAAAAAGATGACATTTAACATTTATCTTTTAGCATTTAACCAAATTTTTATGGCAGAGAAATAATAACTAATATGCTGTTTAAGTTTTTGAAGATTCTAATCAAATCAATTCAATTCTAAGTTTGGTGATTGAATGATTGATCAATAAGAGATTAGAGAGATATTATTCTTATATACTCTATTTATTAATTCACAATTTATTTTAAAATTTGTCCAAGGTGTTGACCACTCAAATAAGGAGCTAAATATTTATTTCTTAAGAATTTTTGTTTTAACTTGTGCCCTTGGGACACATAAAAGTGTGTCCAATATTATAATACAAGATGTATAATTTTTTTAAAAGGAACTAAATATATATTTTTTAAGATTTTTGTTTTAATAAGGACTCTAATAAGGCGGTAACGTTTTTTTATACAAAAAAAAAAAAAAAAAAAAAAAACAAACAAACAACGCCAAATCAGTGTGGGTGGATTCCACCCGTAGAGCTTCTTAGAGATCTTAGTTTAAAACTCACAAATATTTTTGTTCTACAACAGCATGACCTCAAAATTTAGTTATATCTTACTATAATGTTAATTGTCATTTTATTATAATATTAATTATGATTTATTATGATATTTATTAGAATATATTGTGATTATTATTTAGATTATGATTAAAAAAAAATTATTTACACCTTTTGGAATGATGACAGGTGTGGGGATGTATTTTCTGAATACCAACACGTGCCATGGTGACGCCGATGTGTCAGCCGAGGTGCCACGTGCCCTGGTAGTTAAGCCGAGGTAATCTCGGAGAAGCCGAGGTCATCTCCGAAGATATCGGAATCCGAGATAAGGGGCAAGAGTCCTAAGGCACAAAGGGGACTGAACCAAGATAAGGATAAAACTCTCAAGGAGGATATGGATAACAATGCAACGAATGGTGTGCATAACAATGCGATGAATGTGCAACTTCAAAAGTGCGTTTGA